GGGATGGAAGGAATCAAAAAGGAGGAGAAAAGGAATGGAAGGAATCAAAAAGGAGGAGAAATGGGATAGAAGGAATCAAAAAGGGGGAGAAACGGGATGGAAGGAATCAAAGAGGGGGAGAAACGGGATGGAAGGAATCAAAGCACTGCTCTCCCGATTTCAGGAGCCTCCCCTGCCCCAGGCTCAGGGCCTGAAGTTCGGCAGCCACGCTCAGGGCGAGGAAATCATTGAATTCTCCGGGAAAACCTGCTGTGATTTAGCCATTTCGTGAACCTGAGGAGCTTTGAAAACGCTTCCTGAGCGGGGACTTGTCATTGTGTTCAGGGTCTTTCTCCTCTGGAATGGCAAAATTTCGTTCCCAAAGTCCGCGGGAATAAATGGATTATTAAAATGAAATCCGTCTTTTTCCCGTCTGGATCTGAAATATTCCCAGACATGGCAGCCCATTCCCAAGTTCACTCCCGCCTACTCCTTGCCATCTCCATGTTGGCACTGAAAGGAGCTAATTAGGTAATAAACAAATTTAAAAAAAAAAGGAGACTTTTCTGGAAAGGCGAAAATAACCCAAGGATCTCGGCAGCACCAAATTCCACCATCTCCCAGCTCCCATCAGACTCCCAGCCCCTACCTGGCACAGACAGAAACTTAACAAGAGCTATTCCGACGAGAAATCCGACATAAAGACAGAAAGGAACCGAAATATTCTGTTATGCAACTCGCTGTCTGCTGGGTTTCAATGACCTGGAATATTTAATTCCRTATTTTTTTTTGTTCTCGAGGGCTTCCGATTGCGTTTTGTCGTTGTGTTTATTTATACAGTGTCAGGTTTATTTTTAAAWTAAGTAACTCAGGTTACTTATCAGCCTCCTGAGAAGACACAACCAATACCTTCAAAAATTATTTTCCTCAYCGGTTCAAGGAAATTAGCAACATTTTCATAATTAAAAGGAGCAAAATCCACCTCTGAGCAATTTTGCATAACGAATGTTTTCTCAGGTGCCATTTATACTATTTGCCGGGCTAAATTCACACGACAGAAYGCAACAAAAGAAGGCAAAGAAGTCCAAAAAAAACCCACCAAAAATGCAACAACAGAACAGAAAACAAAATTACATTTTTTTCCCCCTAAAGGATCGATCGCAGTTTCACAGGGGAGGAAGAAAGAGTCGTGAGAGAGACAAAATTCCCATTGCACAGGGAAAGCAAACCGCATCCTTTCACATCCGAAGCAAGAGCCCATGGCCACGGTGCCGAAAATGGAGAAATTAAGAGCGGTGGGGAAGCCTCCATTTGCGCAAAGGGAAACCCGGGCATGGCYCTTCTGAAATAACCCCCAAACTTTTCACGGATTTCGTTCATTTCGGGTCAAATCGGAGCAAATCGCGCTCAGGCTGCAGCCACGGGCAGCTCGGCCGGGCGAGGGGTGAGAAAAGGGAAGGGACGCGCAGCTCCTGTTTCTGATAATTAATGAATTCATTAATCAATCATCGGCAGAGGAAGGGCGAGGGGAGGAAGGAATCTTACCACCAAATGGGGTAACCGGCTAAGACCTTTGTGCCATTGAAGAGAAAAGACAGAATTAGTCCAAGCAGGTGGTAATCCATTAGTCCAGGCTGGTGCGAGGAGGGGAAAAATCGCCGCGAAGTTTTCAGAAAAACATGAAGTGCCAGAATGAAGAA